GCTCTTGTCTCCCAACCTCAGCCACTCCTCACTCACTGGTCCATGATCACCAGCGTGAGCCTAGGTAGAGTTACCACCTAGGCTGCTTATATCTCTTGGGAAACCTCCTGATCCACCCATCATGGCCTGATCGCACCCTTCCACTTAACCAAGGTGCCAGTACGAGAGAGGGAGACACACCAGCACCCCAATCATAGCAGGCTCTCAGGGAGTAACTGAGTTACCATCCCTGCCCCGGACCTGGCCACAGAACCCCAGGTCAGCTGAGCAAAACTTTTCCAGGTGAAACCTTAAGAAATTGACTTTTTTTCTCTTTTTGGTAGGTAAAAAATTGTAGGTCACAAATATCAACAGTTTCATACAATTCAATCTATTTTTACCAAAAGCACTTTATTATTGTTGTTAGGTACCATTGAGTTGGTACCGACTCATAAGCGACCTTATGCACAGCAGAACGAAACACTGCCCGGTCCTGGGCCAACCTCACTACTGTTGTCACGCTTGAGTTCATCAATGTTGCCACTTGGCCAATCCATCTTGTTGGGGGTCTTCCTCTTTTTCTCTAACCCTCCACCTTACCAAACATGATATCCTTCTGTGTGGACAGTGGGACTGAAGATGGCTTCTTGTGACAGGCGAGGCTGAGACAAGGTGTCCCTGTGGCAGTGATATGCCAGGGGCAGCTGGGCAGGGTCTCTCTAGGCACTGGAGAGGCTGAGAGCTCACAGCTGCTTTGCTCCTGGGGTCCACAGTCAGGAGCTTGTTCTTCACCACCTGCCCTGCTGGGCACTTCCTTTTTATCCCTCTTTACATCTGAAATAGAAATACATTTGATTAATTAAAAGAACTTGGATGAAACCCCCGGCTGCTTCCCAGGAAGGCAGGTGGGTGCACATCCTGTGAACTCCTCAAGGCTGCTGAGTCAGTGGTTCAGACAGTAGCATTCATTGTGCAGGCACTGCTAGGAGCTCATAGGCATGGTGCTGAGCCCTGCAGGTGGGCCCACCCTAGTTAGGGAGAGGTGAAGACGAAGTGACATGTACACTCAGGAGTCAGAACTGGGCTATGTGCTTTGAACGGGAAGCTCAGGAGACTGAGATGGGTCCTTGCTGAGCGCCGACTCCGTGCTGCACCTTGCAGGGTCCTGACTGGTATCCTGTTCGCTTGTGTTTCTTAGTCTTTCCCACGGAAGGCCTTGCAGCAGTGAGGTGTTGGTCACCTTGCTGAGTCATCCTCAGGGTTGTCCTGTCCACTGCCCTCTGGACAGAGCCTCAGCTGGGTGGGCCTGAGGGATAGGGGTGCCCCAGGATGGTAGTAAAGGACTCTGTTGCACCTCCTGTCACCCTATCTCTGGTGACCTCAAGAAGCATACCCACCAACTCATGGGAATGATCCCCAATCAATCCGTAAACTAGACCTCCCAGCTTCCACCAGGAAGTGTGGTATGAGTCCCCTGGTGGTGCTGTGGTTAAAGCACTGGGCTACTACCTGAAGGTCAGTAGTTCGAACCATGCAGCAACTCCTTCAGAGAACAATGTGGCAGTCTGCTTCTGTAACAGCTTCAGCCTTAGAAACCCTATGGGACAGCCCTCCTCCACCCTGCAGGGTCCCTGCCATTCTAAACTGGCCAGACAGCAGTGAGCTTGGTCTTGACTATGGAGTCCCTGGTGGTACCAATGGTTAACGCTAAGCAAAAACTTGGTAGTTTAAATCCACCCAAAGATGCCTCAGGAGAAAGACCTGGCATTCTCCTCCTGAAAAATCAGCCATTGAAAACGCTGTGGAGCACAGTTCTGCTCTGCCCAACAGAGTGTTGTCATTATTGGGATCAACCTAACTCAAAGGCAGCTAGTTGGTAGCCCTGGCAGTGCCGTCTGCCACACTGGGGTGTGTAAGCTCCTGTGCATAGACAGTGGCTGTCATAACCTAAAACCCATCAACCCCCCCCACCCCGAATATTCCCTAAGGAAACAAAACACTGTCTAATGACGCATGCTCCAAGGTGATGTTGCCGCACTGCTCGTACAAGTGAAAAACTGGAAACTATCTAAATGTCCATCAGTGAGGGACTGGTTTAATTAAGTGGAATAAATCTAAATTTTGGAGCATTGAAAAATGATGGGACTATTACATATAGTAAGGAGCTCTGGTAGCGTAGTGGTTACGAATTGGGCTGCAAACCGCAAGGTCAGCAGTTCGAAACTACCAGCCGTTCCGCGGGAGAAAGGTGAGGCTTTCTGCTCCCGTAAAGATTTACAGCCTCGGAAACCCTGTTCAGGGTCACTATGGGTCAGCACCGACTCGATGGCACTTAACAATAGCAACTAAATGCATCTGTAAACTGTTAGGGTGAGACTCTAGGGTCTCCAGTATAGAAGAGAGGCCAGTAGAATAGTGTGCAAGGCTTAGACAAGTTGCCTAACTTGTTGGAACCTCAGCTTTCCCATCTGGCAAGTGGGGATAATAACAGAGCTTCCTCAAAGAGCTGGCAATGGGGAGAAGACTGTACTTTGGTAGTTTGTGAGTTTTAGATCGTGTGTAAGCATTACCTGTTCGAATAAATAAATATCGTGAGATGGTTATGAGAGGACCAGTAAGGGGTCCCAAGGGAGTTTCATGAAGCATTGGTTGCACCACATTCAAGAGCTACACAAAAGCAGGCTAAGGGATTTGTACCTGGCATGTGGACCCAGGGGTCCTGTGCCTATCACTCCAGAGCACCAGGAGGCAACCCCTGATGACTTGGAGAAAGAAGTACAGGAACAGGAAGTGTCATCTAGTTAAATGCTGACTTTATGCAAGCCCATTACCCAGGGTTGAGTTTCCCTAAGAAAGTCTTCCATGTAGTTCTATGTGAACTATCTGTCGCCCTACTGGACAGCACTGTGCACATGAAAGGCCCTGCAGTGTGGAACTTGGTGTCACCCAGTCTGGTCCTGGTGTGGCGCTGCAGGATAATGCTCTGGACCGCAAGGTCAGTTTGAGCTGCAAGGTTGAATAAATCTAAACTTTGGAGCATTAAAAAATAATGGGACTATTGCATAAGCAGGAGCCCTGGTGTGGCTCTGTGGGCTAATACACTGGGCTGCAAAGTCAGTTTGAACCACAGTGTCGGTAATTCAAACTTACCAGCCACTCCTCAGAAACCCTATACAGGGCCGCTATGAGTCAGAACCGACTCGACAGCACTTAACAACAACAACAGTGCTTCCCAAGCATACAGATCACGGAACGCGCTCTATTCTCTTCTGTTGGCCTGGCCCCTGTTAGCACTCCACACACAAACCTACTGCTGTAACACAGAGAAGCTTCAGAATTGGGAACCACTGTCCTTGAAGAACCAGGGCAGATTTTTAATTCTTCCACTGGTTGTCAGAAGAAGGGTGGCAGAGATTGTCATGAGTGCTCCGTGCCCTGCACAGGGTGGTTGGAGTCTTACATTCAATCTTGTATCCCACCTATTGGTCAGGGAGTTGCTGGGTGACAGACCCAGGCTCCAACCTAGGGTGTCTGCTCTGACACACCATGATTTACTCTTCTCTGAAAAGGGCCTGTCATTCCTCCATGAACACCCCCTTCCTCCTGACTAAATACTCTTAATATATTTCCTTTATCAGAAAAGAGATTAAAGCCCTAGTGGATTTTTTTTAAGGAGGCATTAAGGGTTCAGGGACCTGATCTCAGCTCCTCCTCTGAATTCTAATCTGTAGCTTCCCTGAGATGTGAGTCCTCTCTGCCCCAGAGGCTCTCGGGAAGAGCTTTCCAGGACAGCAGAGTGTCCCCAGCTGCTTCTCCTTGGCCTCACCTGCTCTGCCTCAGGCTCTGAAGCAAAGGGGCAGCAGGAAGAACACATCTGTTGAGCACCTGCTGGAGTACTTGGGTTGTGCTGTGCTCTTTACGACTCTCTTGGCAGCCCTGTTGTGCCAGCTTTGTAATCATGCTTCACTGATGAGGAAACTCAGACTTAGAGAGAGGCCCAAAGCCACACAGGGAGCACCTGTGGAAGTAGCTGTGGACAACCTTGTACCCAGGGAAGAGGACAGGGAGTGGGGGAGCTTGAACAGCCGTGTGGGGTGTCTCCTGCCCCGTCAGCCCTGTGCCAGGACTTGCCTAGCCTTCAGGGGTGCCCATCTCACCAGGGCCCCCCATTCCTACATCATTTCCAAGGGGAAGCCATAAAGGAACTCTTTGCACCCCACCAGCTCTGAGAGGCCCTATGGGACTGTGGGGTTAAGAGGGGCTCCAGGAATGCCCTGGTTTTGAGGAGGGCAGGACTGAGGCTGGAAAGTGGCCATGTCTTTGGGTGATAAGACTGAGCCTGAAGCTTTGTGGCTACTCCTGGGGCCCACCTCCAAGAGACAGTGACAAATGTAACCTCAGCAGAATCCAGAGATGTTATTCTCAAGAGGGAAGCTAGGGCCTGGGTCCCATACTTGACTGGGCAGTAGGTAGGGAGATTGGATTTTCACTGAGGGTGAGTGGACTGCTCTGTGTATCCCAGGCGGCATCAGGCCATGAGAGGAGGTGCAGTGAAGGCTGTGGCTCCTCACAAGCTGGCCCGTTAGAACCCCACAGACTGCCCTGTGGCCCTGGAGTTCTCCAGCAGAGACTTGTGGGGACTGGGATGTGCGTGGGGTTTGATTAGGCATCTCAGAATTCTGAGTTTTAGAGACCAAAGGTGGTGACCATGCACAGAGGACAGGGCTTTGCACACATTACCCCATTGGGACTTCGGTTTGCCAGAGAGACAAGAGAACATAGGGTTTTCTTTAAAGTAGGTGTGGAAATTCAAGGGACTTTGCTTTTTGGAAGTCCTTGGAAGGCGGTGGCAGAAGACAAAACTCCCATCCCTCGTGGTGTTTCACAGATTTTGCTCTCCTGTCTCCCATCGCGGGGAGAGAGGACCCAACATATGACAGGAGGGGAGACCTGGCCTGCACATAGTATGCAGAGGGCTCCTTGCAGCCTGTGCTCAAAGCAGATGTCTTCCCTCCTCCTAGGTCTGGAAGAGATCGGGAGCCTGGTTCTACAAAGGGCTTCCCAAGTATATCCTGCCCCTGAAGACTCCTGGCCGGGCTGATGACCCCCACTTCCGACCTATGCTGGTGGAACCAGCTGAGCGAGAACCCAGAAGCACTGAGACCAGTCACCTCTACACCTGGGCCCGAGGAAGAGGTAAGTCAAGTTCCCCGTGCGGTGTTTAGGTTCTCGGCTAGCCAGAAGCACCACAGGCACAAGGCCACACCCACCACAATCTCTGCGTGGCTCATACGGATGAGCTCTGCTCTGTGGTCTCAGTTTCCCATCTGTGCACAAGCAGACGGCTTGGACCTTCAAAGTGGCTACTGTTGACTCTGTGCTGAGATGCATGGGAGAGTCTGTTTGGACAGATGCACAAATGAGCACTAACTTGTGGCAGGGAATGTTGTGTGGAACCCTAGAGTATTTGCAGAAATATGTTGATTGAGGTTTTTTAGCAAAATCTGCTAATGCGTCTCTCCGAAGCAGGCCTGTAACATCTCTTCCTGTGCTTGTCTTGTGTCTCCATAAGGGAGGACTCTGGCATCCCTGTTGCTATGAGAAACGTGACTTAGCTGCCGCTTGTTGTGTGGTGGCTGCATTGATGTGGGTGTGTCCAAGTGGGCACTGGTCATGAAACTGCCTGGTTTCTAGGTGGTCCTCTTTTGCATGTTTGCATGTGTTTATGGTTTTATTCTCAAAGCCCCTGATCTTCCAGCAGGCCCAAGAAGTAGACAGTAGGTGTTTAATAAGTCCTCCTAGCTGGGCGCTGGAGGATAAGCACTGGACAGCGAACCGCAAAGTTGGCAGTTCAAACCCCCCAGCCACTCCTCAGAAATCCTGTACAGCGTCACTGTGAATTGATTCTTACACTCAGTGACACTTAACAGCAGCTTTATAGACTAAAGGAGCCTTGAGGACATAGTGGGCTATAAACCACGAGGCTGACAGTTCAAATCCACCAGCCACTCCACAGGAGAAAGATGAAGTCCTCTCCTTCTGTAAAGATTTCCAGCCTCAGCACCGCTCTGGGAGCAGCTCTCCTAGCTGCTGTAGGGCTGCTGTGAGTCACCATCAGCTCAGCTCAATGGCAGGGAGTCTTTATAAGTCAAAAGCCCGGGCTTAGGAAGAAAAGGAATTTACTCAGCTGGTGCACAACAGAGCTAGAGCCAAAAGTCAAAAGGGCTCACTCTCTGGGATCCAGGTCCTTCTGCCCTGAAGTGTTCCCAGTCCTCGTGGTCTAAGAGACAGAGGCAACCAGAGAAGTGAGGGGCTCAGTGATGTTCTGCTTCTCAGGGGCTTCCCACCGTCTTGGTCTTTGGTTTATGACTGAGTGCCTAACTGTTTTTATATGATTTGAGGTCCCCCCTGCCTTGTTACCAAAGGAATACATGATTATTATAAAAGATTAGAACGTTGTGAAGCAGTATCATGTAGAAAGTACAAATCCCCTGTAAAGCAAACCTTCAGACATAACGGGCATCAATAGCTGGCGTCTGATCTCCAGGTCTGGTTTCCTCGCCTCCCTCAGGTTATTTCACAGTAGCCTTTCCTCGCCGATTCGCCTGTATTCTGTTCAAATTCCATCACATTCACTGCCACAGACAAGGATCCATAGGGACTAGATTGCAGGCGCAGCAGGGAGGGGAGCAGGCTTGATTTGGACACTGGCTCGCAGGAGACTCTGTGGCTGGCCAGCCCTGGGAGGGAGCCAGCCCAGAGAACAAGGGATTATTGGGAGGCAGAGGAAATGACCCCCTTTTTTATGCTATCCTTTTTCTGCCCTCCGAACTAGGGCTTTCTCTTAGCTGATTCCTGGCAGGATGCGTCCCAGCATCTCCAACAGGAGGAAGAGATGTGGCAGTAGAAAGAGATGCTCCACACATACATGCGCACACATGTACACACTACACATGCGTGCACATGCACACCAGGTGTTGACAAGTCACCTCCAACTCTTGGTGACCCACCTGTGTCAGAGTAGAGCTGTGATGCCTGGGGTTTTCAATGGCTGCTTTTCAGAAGTAGATTACCAGGCCTTTCTTGCGAGGTACTTTGGGTGGAATCAAAATCTCCAGCTTTTCAGTTAGCAGTAAAGTTGAAAATCGTTTGTTCTACCCAGGGACTCTTGAGTGGAAGGCACCATCAGATTTAGGATGTTCCCTCAGGTGAGTAGAGGAGAAAGACCCTGGGGCCTTAGCCCTGGTGGCTGGGCCAGGCATCCACCTTCAGGAGCTCTACTGCCCCATCAACTCCATCATCAGCACAGTGCACATGCGCCCTGAGGAGGAGCAGCGCCTCCACCACCTCCTTAGCCCTACACACATAGATGCCCTTGTCATTAGATAAGCGAGCTGGCCCAGCTGGCCTGGACTCAGCACCATTTATTCACAGTCTGCTCTGGGGCCAGTGAAACGAGCAGAGGGGCTCCCTCATGTGAATTCGTTCTCCACCCCGGCTGCCATAGCCCTGTGATGACCTGCATTTCACTGCCTGGGAGCTGGCCACCCAGACAGATGACCTGAGGAAGTCTGAAAGCCCCATCTGGCTGCAGAGGCTCAAGAGGTATCTGACCTGCCCAGAGCGGAAGGTGCACCTGGATGGGGAGGGTGAGATGGGTAGGACTTAAGCCTGTGCACAGGAAGAACTTGTGGATACACAGGAGGCATCACTTAGAAAACAGGAGGGGAGCCAGAGCTGTGCCATGCTGCAGAGGCCTAAGTTCTGCAGAGAAGAGGCTAGACTCCAGAGAACCCCAGACAGGCCGGTTGTTTCTTTAATGCAACCTGGGTGACTTACTGCCCCCTCTCTCATTAGCCTGTGTAGAAGCCAGGCTCTGTCCTTTCTGATTGAGTTGGGGGGCCCCTGGCCCTCCCTTACCTGGCTGTGTTCTCACAGAGACAACACAGGGTGGGCATGGGATGAGCCAGTTGGGAAGATCCTGAGCCTGGGTCAGAGGCGGGTGGTCTGCACTATGGTGACCCTTCTCTGTGGTGGTTCACATGGCCTTATGGTGAAGTCCATTGGGGAGCCTCCCGACAACCAGTAGGCCAGAAAAGACTTACCTGGGAGGCTGATCTACAAACCAGCCTCAGGAGAATGTGTTAGCCTGTCATACAGGGCTAACCTAGAAAAGCTCCAAACACGGAGGCTCAGAGAGCATCATCCTGTTCAGTAAACGGTGGGTGTTATGCATTGGGAACATTTCCCGGATCTCACCTTTGCGTCTTTTCTTATGATAAGCTGATTTATATCCTTTGATGATACTAAAACCAGTAATCATACATTGAATATCTTCCGTGAGTTCTGTGAATGGCTCCAGTGAGTTAATGAACCCAAGGACAGTGTCCTTGTAATGAATCAGGGCTGACCTAGCCCCAGGTGGCTAATGACAGGGAGAGGAGAGTGCTGTGTGGGCAGCTGGGGTCAGAAATGATGGTGACATGGGAGTGTAGGAATAAGATTGAGCTCCACCTTCTGAGTTGGACTCTCTCCCCATCCCCACCTCTCCACAAGCTTTATACCCTGGCTCCCTCTCCTCTCAACCCTTGGACTCAAACACCTATGTCTCCAACCCTTCCTCCCCATCCCAGCCCACTCCATTTCCTTTCGCATGCCCTATTGGAAGAGAGAGGGTAATCAATAAGTACAAGCCAAGAACTTTTTAATCTACAGAGAACAATCAAGTAAAATGTATTGATGTTTCTGAGGCAGATTCTTTTTCTTCCATCTTTAAATTTTCTTTGTTAATTTTTAATTACGATTCAAAGATGTGTAAAAAGTAAAAACCCCTTCTGCATGCCGTCTCCAAACCTCTTTTTTTCATTCTCTCTGTAGTCACAGGTAGGAGATGGGTTTTTGTGGCTTTTCTTGCTTTGGGTTTAAACAACAGCACAACAAAGCCTCTTACTCATTACTCTGCAGCTTAGCTTCCTTTGGGGGCTTAAAGGAACATCATGAGCAACCCTCCAGGTCAATAAATAGAGACTTGATTCCTTTTAATGACTGGATAAAGTCCCATAGTATATACTACATTGTGATTCAATTACAGGAGTCCTGGTGTGGTGCTCGAGGATAAGCACGGGACCACAAGTTGGTTTAAACTGCAAGGTCGGCAGTTCGAACCCACCAGCTACTCCTTGGAAAGCCTATACAGGGTTGCTGTGAGTCAGAGCCGACTCCACAGCATTTAATAACAACATTGATGACAATTCAGATTGTTCCCAGGCTTTGACTACCACAAGCAATACTGACAAGGACTGATACACTTTACAGCACCGAGCAACTGTAGAAACATTATGCTAACTGAAAGAAACCAGACACAAAAGACCACCTATTATGTGATTCCTTTTATATAAAATTCCAGAGCAGACAGGAAGTGGACTGGTTTTCAGGGGTGGGGTCAGGGAGAATGGGAGTTGACTGCTCATTAATGGGGGTTGCTTTTTGGGATGATGACAGCGTTCTGGAATTGGGGAGTGGTGATGGTTGTACAACCTAGAGAATATACTAACAAGTACTGAGTTATGGGCATTCAAAGGGTAAATGTTACATTATAGGAAGTATATAGCAACAGAAAACAAGTTCATAAGATGTTTTTTAATAGCAAGGGTAAGGGGAAATTGCCTCTCTAGATTTTAAGTTTGTATTATGATTCCGACTCAGCATGACCCTATAGGACAAAGTTGAACTGCTTCATAGGGTTTCTGAGGCTGTAAATGTTTCACAGAGCAGTCAGCCTCATCTTTCTCCCTACGAGTGCCTGGTGGGGTCAAACTGCTAGCCTCACCTAGCACTCACTTCATTAGGCCACCAGTGCACCTTATATAAAGCTGTCAAGCTCAATAAATTCAGTGTCATATTGAATAGATGAGTGGAATGGAATAGAGAAAGACTAGAAATGAGGAGGTAGGGAGGCTGAACATAGAAGTGGGTTTATATCTCAGTGGGTACCTTTGTTGTTGTGTTGTTGTTAAGTGTTGTTGAGTGGGTTCTGACTCATATCAACCCTGTATAGCGTTTCCAAGGAGTAGCTGGTGGGTTCAAACTGCCAACCTTGTGCTTAGCAGTCCAGTGCTTATCCTACAGCACCACACCAGGAGTTATTAAATAAAACCTGCTATGTTCCTGGTGTGGCATTTTAGGATAAGCACTAG